TTCTCAGCTTGAATTCTTCGGCGACGCCCCGACGGTTTCCGAACACCCGCCTAATCTGCGTCAGCTTGCACCCAGTGCCAGACAACAAGGGCACTAAGATGCTCGCGCGTTGGCGAACTTGTGCAGCTCAAATGGCTTTCCAGCTCTGTCAGACTGTTGCTTTGCACGCGCGTTTTTCCAGTCGCCGGTTTGCATAAAAAGTTTGCACCTTCTTTGAAGCCTCATTGTGGCAGTTGTCCAAAACCCCGCTCAAAGTGGCTACTTGCGTTTGTGGCATGGTGCTTAACCTCCCCGACAAGCTGCTGTTGCAATTAAATAGGTATTGTCCAACCAAATGAGAAATGAAGTCGAGACTCGGAGATTTCCAGCATCGACTCTTTTGCACAGTTGTCCACAGCCCATCCAATAAGTCAACCGTGAGCTGGGCCGCTTTCGAACATGCTGGCGTCCCTTTCGCGAAGCTGCGCAGAGAAACTTGCAAGAAACAAACACCTTGACTCACCTCTTTCCTGTTGCGAATGAAAACGCTGCTCATGTGCAGCCCGTTTATTTAGTTGAGTTTATGTACAGTATTTATTCATTTACTTATTTGTCGAGCTGCGCCGGAAAGAGCAGCAGGGAACCGCTGTATTATTCATGTTTATAAATAAATAAATAAATAAATAAATATATAAATCAATAAATATATATAAATAACATAGTATCTATATCCTCCTCCAGCTTCGGCGTGGCAAGACCCACAAACAAAGCCTCACGCATGGAACGCCTGTGGTCAAATAGACCTAGGACAGGACACTCCGACACTCCAAAATTCGGTGAGAACCATCGTGCGTAGAAACCGCCATGCCGCGTCCGACGTGCATGGCATGCATGGTGCTCTTTGTTGTGCTGCATCCCGCGTGCGTCAGAGCGTCGGGGATGTGAGAATGTTGATTGCTGCAGCTCGGCATCGCAGCTTGACCACGCCAGTTTCGCCGCGTTAAAGTTGCAAAAAAGAAAACGACGAGAAGCACCCGACCCTGGCGGTCCAAGATGTGAGCTCGTTGCGCCGCAGCCAGCTGCTCAAACACGTGGCGGTGGTGTCACCGACGCCTGGCTCCGATCGAGCGTTTTGGGCCAGGCAATGCAAAGCAAGCCTTGATGGTTCAAATCTAACAAAATATCAAGAACAATGTTACAACAATAGGTGTCCTTTTGGGGCAAAATAGATGGATATCCCTGGTAAATGATTAAACCACCAGGTAAACCAGGAATCGCCATACACTTTTGCGGCGAACACAGCCAAAAAGGACACCTATGGCTACCCCAAACCCAAAAAAAAAACCACGGACCTTCATCCAGGCTCCTTTTATCACCAGAGCTCGTTTTGTTTATCCAGGTTGGCTCCTTTTATCAGAGCTCGTTAACAATGCGCCCAGGTTCGTTGAAATCTCCCAGCAGCAATCACAAGCCCCAAACTTTGGTTGCGAAATCTGCTCCCCTGCTGAAAGTTTAATTCTTTGTGGTTTCATGCGGAAAACCCATTCGTTGGCAAAAAGTTAACGTCCTAACATCCAAGCAAAATGCACCAAAGAAACTGTGCTCTTATGTTTGTCTTTTGGGCTTCTAAATGCGACATCTAATTACCGGGGGGAGCGGGGAAAAGTTATTGAGTTTTTGGCAGGGGAAAGCTCTTGAATGTTGAATGTCCACAGGGTCAGCAATTGTCAGGCGTAATTTGCCTTTTTGGCAGGGGAAAGCTCTTCTCAGTTGCCCAAAAGACCAGTTTGGGGTGACTAAAAATGGGAACCCAAAACGCGAAAACCGAAAGGTCAAAAGGTCGGCTTCGCGCAACTGAGTCTTGAATGTTGAATGTCCACACGGTCAGCAATTCTCAGGCGTAAGCTGGCGAGAGCCATTCATGCAAGAGGCTATCGAGAGTGTAGTCGAGATTTCCAGCGGCCATACTATCCTCAGCGAGGCTCCAGTGGCAACACCTTCTTCACATGCCAACTGTGCGAGGCTCCGACATGCCCGAGACCCCCATCAGTGGCAGGTCATCTACCACCGTTGCCTTCAAATCATGAATTCATGAACCGCATCCCAAAGGCGCCAACGCAACTAGGCTTATCATTTTAGCCCACGGAGATTCAACCGCGCGGTGGGCAAACAGAACCCGCACACGCACAGCAAGCATTGCACCATGGGCCAATAGAATGCGGAGCATGCCTGCAGCCCCAAATCAAAGGGAGCGCGACTACATGTACCAGCAGGAAAACTAATCAACTCACTTGCTGAGTGGATGGCCCGAAACAACTCCAAACTTTATATTTACCACTGAAATGGTCTTCCCAAAAAGCTTAAAGTTCATGAACTCGGGAAGTTAGTCAATCACATCGTCAACTATTTTTCAAGGTAATCGCTCACGCTGCATTCAAGCATCCATGTATTGGTAGACAACCAGGCCAATTGCTCCTGAAAAGCGCGCGGTCACAGCTCATTCCTACACACACGCACACACACACACACAGCACACACACACACAGTCACAAACGACGCAAGGAGCGCTACACACCCAAACCAGCCACGAAATCTCTCTGCAGGGACTCCATTGGGCGCCCAGGCTGCTCTTTAAGGGAATGCCCGTTTGCATCCTCCAGCATTGCAGGTGCTTCTTGCCTGAATTGCGCAAAACTATGCAACACCAATGCACGTGCCAACAGGCCCCCGACAAGCCAACATACCGGCGCTCCGTTCATGATGCTCTGCACCACGACCTCAGCAAGAACCGCCCCTCACGCGTGCAAGGAGCAATCGTGCGTCGTGCTGCAACTGTGGTCTTGCTTTCAGAAGCCCTCGTCTGGTTCACTTGCTTCTCTGGCACTGCCACAAATGCAAAATGGATGACTATTTGCCATTATCTCTCGCCATCAAGCTGCAAGGCTGTAATCTTCCCATATCTTCCTATCCAAATGCCCGCCCTACTACGAACCTGCAGCGTTGGACTCAAGCAGCTAGCAGCTCAGCAGCATCTCGTGATTGCACTGGCAATGCAAGCAACCGAGCCGGCCAACACAAACTTGGGGAATTGACTACTATGATACCACTGGTATGGCCTTCCCGGTGACGTACCAGTCAAAGGAGCGGAGAAAAATGAGAAAACAAAATCCAAGTCTTGCCAAGGCGCTCGTGTCTGAGAAGGGCATCGGTCTGGAGCACCAATGCGCCGTGCCCACATGGCTTGCGGCTTGCGGCTTACGCCGGGATCGGAGCAGCGGAGAGCAGCGGGCTTGCGGGCGGCTGGGGCACCAAATCTCAAAAACGAAGGCGCGGATCGGCCGTGAAAATAAAATTCTGGGCCTTTCAGAAAGGCAAAAGGGAACAGCCAGAGGATATGGTTGCTGTGCGAAAGCCAGCGCTGGGAACTCCAGTCGGTTGCTGGTCTTTTGCGCAGAGGGCAACAGCTAGTTGGAAGTGGACACCTCGGGCAGCTCTCGGGGGGCCTTTCTGACTGCTGATGTGAGGCAAAGGCTGGGGCAAAAGGCTTCCACTGCCTCTTGGAGCCTGAATTACTGAGCGAGCGAGTCAACAGATTCGGCGCCCACACCCAACTTCGCTCATGGAACTCCTGGCAAGCCTCAGTGAAAAAGAAGCATTGAGATAAGTGGGCAATAGGACCCCTTGCGAGCTTGGGGACTAGGACTGGGCGTGGGGGTCCACTCCGCTCCCTCACAATCGCCTCTGTACCCCTGTTGCTGTGAATGTCCTGCTCGTTCGATTGGGGTTATTCCAGGCCACGGATCGTGTTCTTTTGGCAGAAACGCGAAAACCGGCCGCATGGGGCCGAGTCGACGAAGTGTTACATCCCACCGTCTGGAGAAAGCCCATCAATGGCCCAACGTATACAGGACGTGCATGCACGCATGAATGCGCATCGCCAACGTTTGCCCCCAACGGCAAACTTGCCTTCCCCCCCCCATCCCCCCCCCACCAAACCGAAAAAATCGACCCCCCCCCCCCCAACAAACCGAAAAAATCGAGGTCCCTCCCCCCCTCCCCCCATGAGATAGGGACACACAACGCCTCCCAAGGCAGTCCTGCACTCCCGGATCTCAACCCCTCCCGACTCCCGTGGCCCCAAGGCCCCAAGGCCCCAAGGCGCGCGCCTCGGAGAGCCTCAAGTTCTGAAGGCAAGAGGCAAGGCCCTGGGTTGGGGGGGGTGGAGTTGGTGCGACCTTGGGGTGGGTGGGTGGGGTGGGTGGGGCGGGGTGGAGTTGGTGCGACCAGAAAAAAGCAGCATGAAACCCCAGCACCCGGCCTGAAAAGCAGAAGAGAACCCCTCTTGGTGGTTTGGAGCGCGACGCTTTGGGATGGTTTGGGACGGTTTGGGACCCATTTAGCCTCAAGAACCAGGGGGTTGAAACCCCCACCGCCAATGCGAACCACCAAGTAGGGGTTGCCTGACAACAGGAGATATCGCTCGTTACCGATGTTGCCGAAACGTTCAGCCGGAGGAAAAAAAGAGTGGCCTCTGGTCAATAGCGGGATGAGAATTTCTTTGCTCGCTGTCTAATGTTGATTCGACGCAAACCACCAGTCAAGGGATACCTGCTGAAACAGTGTCCCGATGATTTCGCCCCGCTTTTTGGGACTGTCCGCTTGGCGTTCAAAGCGCCGGCCTTTACTTCACTCATAAGTCCAATGTTGGATCTCGTGTCCAAGGCTAAGGTTTGGAGGAAGGCGCGGGGGGAGGTTTTGGGACAAACGGAGAAGGACATGGGCTTGCAATCGTTGTTTGTTCTTCTTTTCTCACCGGTCATGTCACGCGTACACCAAAAGCCTGGGCAGCTGCAAATGCTCAAGACAAAAAAAAAAAAAAAACTCCTCGCAACTCCTCGCAACTGCGCGCCACCAACCTCAATATTCAAATATATTCAACTGCTGGCTTTCAGGTCCCTGGGGCATGGCAAACAACTCCGGGCTCTCTCCCAGCAAAATGCCCCCCTCCCCCCCCGAGTTTCGAGCGGCGAGGATGCGCCACTCGCCAGGGAGCCTGAGATAGGATGGCCAGCGCATGGCACAAAAAGGCCGCGCCAGAGGAACAATCACTCGAGGGATCTCCTTCGACCTTACGTTCCTCGGGGGAAACATACCATCCAGTGCCGGGACCGCGTGAAGGGAAACGAGGGGAAGCCCTGGGCGAACCAAAGTGATACACCAAAGATATGTCCAATGCACACAGGGCTGTTCGTTCCCCGAAAGAGTACCCCCTGATCATGGTCATGCCGCAACTCACTTCCTGAGTTTGGACGGGCCAACACAAAAGTCTGAACTTTCTATTTACACCATGACCTTCCCAAAAAGTCTGAAGTCCGTGAACTCAGGAGCGATAAAATACGAAACATGTCAAGCTCCCGGGGGCATAGGCTCAACTGCACTGGCCCTTGAGCCTTGACCCTTTGACTGCACGGCACTGGCATCGAACATCGGCACATCACCATGAGCGGCACGAAGAAGTCGGGAGATGCCGGGGTTTCATGACAAGATCATGCCAGCCGCCTGAAATGGATGGGAAGCGCCTTGCTCCACTGCATCTGGTCTCCAAGTTAAACTGACAAGCCTTCATAGGTGATACTCTTATCTTCCCAATGGCTGGTTTGGTGCGGCAGGGCATGCTGTCCATCAGACTTGGCTTTTTTCACCACACCGCCTCACGCAATGCGCAACATACGCAGAGATTCGAATCGGGAAAGCCCCGATTCTCTAAGGGACGAAGTGGACAGCAGCCCAGCCTCCGTGAAGCTATGTTCGCGAATGAGGGCAGTGCTTGATTTGTAACTACTCCGTGCACTTTGGCGCTTTTCTCATGCGATGTCAACATCCCTTTACCCTAACTATAACTTAATTTGTGATGCGTATTTGCCCAGCGTTGCTGCCCTGACTTCCGCTCAATGCATGTTCGCAGCCAGGAGGGGAACCCCTGACTCAGGCCCTGCCTTCTGATGGGGAGGCTCTGATGACGAAAGTTGCAAGAGGAAGTTGCATGGAAGGTAGCCGCATGTCCAACGAAGCCAAAGCCAGTTTCAACCATCCATGAAGCCTTGCTGGAACAAGAGAGCTGAACACATCTACAGATCCCATGCAGCTCGGTTCAGTGTCAAGAAGGTGCTAATTCTCGGTAGGTGGCCCGTTCAAAGGGTTCTACAGCCAAGCTGCCCTACACTGTTGCCACATTGCGACATGTCCTCCGACGGCAGCTACAGGAGCAAGCTTGGCTTAGGGCTGTGAACATCCTCGTGCCGGAGCTTTGAGGCTCCCCTCCCAGATTGGCATTCGGCGCCTCCCCCCCCTTTCCCTTTCCCGCGCCCGCGACGTTGCACGGGCCGTGAGAGCGGATTTTGCACAGACCGCTCGTGCCTGCTGCGGCAACCAGCCATCCATCCGCAGGCATTTGTTGGGTCTGCAAACAGCTTGGCGCCACGTTAGTGCACTGTTCTAGGGGTAGCTTCCCCATTCTTTCCAGGGATCCTTCTTTCTGGAAAACCACCAAAAGCTGAAAAGAACGATGGCTGAAAAGAATGGGGAATCAAGCGCCAGAACTTTCATTATGTTGGTGAACAACGCCCTCAAAATCCGCTCACATTCAAGGCCCTGGACCGGAAGAAGCGCCATGAAATATCCTCTTTAGACTAGGCGTGCAGCCGGTCAAACACAAAACGCTCAGCGTGTACCATGTATACTTGTTGTATGTCTGCGTCCCTCTAGGCATTTGTGAGATGTGGTTTTATGGCTATGTCTGGGACGGGTTTAAAGGGCCTTTCCGGCAACAAGGTACACAACATGCTACAACCGCGGATTAACGGATGTATGTCCACGGGAATGCGCGGGGATTGTCTATCCAAACGGGCCCACTCAATGAATATGTCGGTTCACGACCCAAGCAGGGTACCCTCAAGAAAAGATGCCCGCACAAAAACATGAATGCTTCTCACGACCTCTTTACTTGTTGTGCGTTCGATGGACCTTGTATTGGGTGCTTTGTCGGCAACGCTGCTTTTGCTAAACAAACGAGGCTCAAACAAGGGCGCGTTCAAACAAGCTGACAGGATGCACAACATGTGCTGGACGGAATGTACAACAGAGTTCCAATAATTTGCGTGAATGCGCGAATCATTCCAATCATCAATCCGTTTTTTAATAGATTGCCCCAATTTGCAGGGCAAGTTGAAGCCAACCGTCCTGCCTCCCATTCAAGTGATATGGGTGAGCTAAAAGTGAATATTGTTTAATGGTTTAATGCAAAACCAATTAGCTGGCAAAAAGTTAAAGTCCTAACATCCCTTGGCAAAAATGCTCCAAAGAATTCATTGGTTGGCCACCGTACGTTAGTAACCAGGGCACCCTCCTCACCGGTCTCGGGCCGTGCTCTGTATCTCCAGCGCCCTTGGCACCAAAACGCAGGAAAAAGGGCGGTGAAACCAAGGTATCTGATCGCCACTGCATCTGGGCAAACATCGGGAATGGTGCCCAAGAATTTGTGAAAAGGGTAAAGCGAAGGGAAGCCACTGGTACTTGGTTGATAGATGCTTGGCCAACTTGTTTGCAGTTTTCCACTTGAGGCCAAGGGCCAGGTCTTCCTAGCGTTTCTTTCTTCCTCACCCACTGGATTCATTCAGTCAATGGCAGAAACAACTCAATGGCCTATGGCCGGTTCAGCGCGAGTTCTGGCCATCAAACCTTGCGGCTGCCTACCAGGCAGACTACGCATGGTATGCCAAGGAGGGGTTCTGACGCTGGAACTCCGCCATGGGCAAGAAGTCGAACTGCCTGGGTGTTTGGTCAACCAAAAAAACGACTCGAAGCCAGCCCTCGAAAAGCCGAGAAAAAAAAGAGGGTTGGTTGGGAAACAAAACAAAAAGCCGAGGGAACAAAAGGCTTGGTTGGGTTCACAAGCCTTGGGGGGAATAATTAAGGCCAAAGGGTTGCTTCAATTGCAACCTTGCAAGGCCCACCGACGTGGGCATTTTGCGAGGAATCCGGTCTGCCGCCCACCCCGCGCCAAGGCGAGTGGATCAGGCCATGTTGGTTTCCTCCCCCCTCCCTTCCCTGTCCTCAGATCCCCTGCTAAAAGTGAATCACTTTCAGTGGGTGAAATACGGCAACCCAACTAAACCGGAGTCGCTGGGAGTCCTCCCAGCTCTGCCAAGAGTCGTCTCACCACCCTCCGGCTTGTGCATGTAGAGCACGTGGCTGTGGAACTGTTGCAGGGCTGGCCGGTGGCCCACGGAGACGTAACCCTCCAAGCGCTGCTGCAGCAGCTTGTAGAGCAAGGCCTTCTTGAGATACGGCGACCCGAAATGGGGTGGCAAGGGGTGGGGGATGGGGGTGGGGGATGGGGGTAAGGGTGGGGCCCTGACTGCTGACTGGCTGACTGCAAACCTCCAACTTGTTCTAGGGAAAAATGCCCATCCAATTCCTGCTTGTCTCCCTGAAAGCCTGGCTTGGTGGTGTGATGTGGTGGTTGCGTTGGCTGTGCACCGGGCTCTTTGCGAAATCAACACCGACTTTCATCACCGAAAGGTTCAATTTCAAAGCACAACGGCGACCATCCTTTGCGACATTCTCATAGCGTGTCATGGCGGCACCCTCAAACTCCCTGAGTGTATCGACCAAACTTTCTCAGTTTGAGACCAGACCGGCCTTCCCAACAAGCATCAAACGTCCAACCAACCCACACAAAAAAGGAACAAGAACAAAAACAACCAAAAAAGAAAAGAAAAGAAGAAAAACAACGGGGCCCATCCCCCTCGCCACGAAAATCGTGTTCCCCACGGCAAAATGCGCGCCTCGTTCTGGGGATCACAGGCAGAGGTCCCCTCGTCGATGAGGGCCATCCGCAGCTCTGGGCGCAACAAGATCCGCGCGAAGTTGATGCGCTGCTGCTGGCCAAGGGACCTCCAGCGAGCCGCGCGAGCCGCGCGAGCCGGGGGTCGGAATCACTGGGACATGAGGAGGGAAGAATCGACGGAAGTTGCGCCATGGGTCTCTCCTAGGTGTCAACACTCGGGGCTGAGATGGAATCGTCCTGGGTCTCTCTGAGTTGTGTAGGCCATCTACTGGGTGAATACCGAAGTAAGCCCTTGCCAAACGTAGCTTGGTGAAGTACATGGATAATTACCCTTTGTAAATGTCCAATACCTCAAGTTGGTCTTGGATGTAGTGGTTTGCGTGTCGTGTCACGGACCTACCGAAGCATGTCAGGCGCGAGTCCTTTCTCTCAGGCTCGTGACGGCGTGACGGCGTTCCCTCACTAGCGTTGTGACACTCGTTTTCAATGTCAACCGTGCCTACCAGGGAATTTCGCTTTTTGGACCTCGCTCACTTTCCAAACCATTGGGCAGATGGGCATGGACGAAGAAAGCTCACTAATCGGGTCGAGAGGCACCATCTAACTGGTTACGGCAAGCAAGGGGACCTCCAGACCAATGCCAACAACGCGCTGTCTGCACGGCTCACTTACTTTGCCCGCCGGTCTCGGCAAACGTCGCAGCTTCTTAGCAACTATTGCCCTCTGTCCAACAACATGTTTAATGGCTTGTGGAAGGACACACAGCTTCTCACGTCACCAGTTAAGCTCAAAGTTTGTTTTCCTTTGTGTCGTGCGAGGTTGTTTACTCAAAATGCTCATCCAGTGGCAGCCATAGCTTTGCAAGTCTCACGGCCAAGTGGCAAGAGACTTGACCATTCCTTGGACTCTGACAGCCCATGGTGGTCCAAGAGCTGGTGCAAATTCACCTGGCCCAGGTGGCTTCTCCAACCCGTGGCCCAGTATTTTGTATTTGGTTTCCTTTTTGTACCCCGCTCTGGATTGCAGGAGTTTTGCAGTCGGACCTCGGCCGGTGAGTTAGACTGTCCTCAGATCATTTGAGCTTGACAAGACCCTAATGCCAAATACAGGAAGCCAACAAGAACCTCGGTCGCCCGTCTACCCAGTCTTTTGATCACAAGGCTCTCAAGCGGTTGCCCGTTCAAAGCACTAACTGGCAAAAGAGA